CAATAGCTAAAGACCTCCAAACTTGGTGTGGCCTTCAGATGAGCCCAACAACAGTGCGTAGAGAGCTTCATGGAATGGGTTTCCATGGCCGAGCAGCTGCATCCAAGCCTTACATCACCAAGTGCAATGCAAAGCGTCGGATGCCATGGTGTAAAGCACGCCGCCACTGGACTCTAGAGCAGTGGAGACATGTTCTCTGGAGTGACCAATCACACTTCTCTGTCTGGCAATCTGATGGACATGTCTGGGTTCGGCAGTTGCCAGGAGAATGGTACTTGCCTGACTGCCTTAAGCCAAATGTTTTTCAGGGTGGGCTTGGCCCCCTAGTTGGAAGGGGTGGCCCCTTCCTGTTCCAACATGACTGCGCACCAGTGCACAAAGCAAGGTCCATAAAGACATGGAGGAGCCAGTTTGGGGTGGAGGAACTTGACTGTCCTGCACAGAGTCCTGACCTCAACCCCATAGAACACCTTTGGGATGAATTAGAGTGGAGACTGTGATCCAGGCCTCCTCCCCCGACATCAGTGTCTGACCTGACAAATGTGCTTCTGGAAGAATGGTCCAACCTTCCCATAGACACCCTCCTAAACCTTGTGGACGGCCTTCCCAGAAGAGTGCCAAGTTCCCGGGCCTATACACCTGCTGTACTCATTATGAGAGGTTCCCACCATCCCTGCTGGAGTTTCATTTAGTTTTTGGAGAATGTAACACATAAAGGTGGCCAGGAACACCCAAAACTCTGTGGGAATGTACCTACAGGCAGCTCTCAGCCCAGCTGGTCCAATCTATATCAGATTTGATTAAAAGATTTCTTGACAATATAGAGAATACATCAGGGGGAGGAGGGTGGAACCATCCTTAGGCTTTGTGAAAATTATTTGAAAAAAAAAAAAATGGAAAATATCTTCCCAATGTATTCCTCAAGAACAATAAAATGCAACGGACTATTCAACTTGCCAGTATTTTTTTTTTATTCTGTTTGGAATGGAGCTTTCCCAGTAGCCCAGCAGAGTTGAGGTAGTGGAATACAGAGGAGTGATACCATCTATTATTATGTATGGACAGAAATAAGCCATGGTGGAGGCCATGGTGGAGGCCTTGGCAGGGTGAACAGAGACCACACCCCTTTATACAGGCCACTATACAAATTTCAGCATAATTGCCCTGGCACTCACAAGTGGAAGGTCTCGTTGTATTTGGGAGCCCAGTTGTTGCTCTTGGACTTGGTGGTGAATTTCCTCTTCTTGTCGCTCAGATGAGGTCCAATCACAGTGGCCTCCACGAAGGGTCGGAACATGCCGGTCGTCTGCCACTTGAGGTCATTGGCGGCCACCACTGCCAGGGAAAGCACAGAGAGTGATGTAAGGAGACAGCGCCACCACAGGCTGATGGAGGTACTACACCCTATCAAAAGCCATTTTGTTTTGTTTTTTTACCCTTTCGCTGCCAGATGCGAGTGGAGGGGAGGCAGGGGAGCAGACACACGGCTCCTCCCTTTCTTTCTGTGACCCGGAAAGTGTACGACTGCCGGGTCACTCCTGTCACTTTCTATTCTAGCTGGGGAGGAATGTATTGCAATGCGATCTGCATTGTAATATATTCAGTGGAGCCCAGAGGAGATATGTACCGTCTTTTAGACCCGGCATGTCTGAATAAAGAGAACCTGGCACCTAAAAATCATCACATAGTGGACAGTTTTTTTATTGCATAAAAATTAAGTTACACCCAAGCACATAACATCCCCCCCCCCCCCAAAAAAAAATGTTGGTGGAGATCTTTTCTTGTGTGGCAGTCTATCGTTGCTAGGTACATCTATTGTTGCTGGTGGAGGATCTACTGTTGAAGGATGGGTCTATTGTTGCTGGTGAGGGATCTACTGTTGAAGGAGGAGTCTATTGTTGCTGGTGGTGGATCTACTGTTGATGGAGGAGTCTACTGTTCCGCTCTCCCCGGACCCCGCACTCACTATATCCGCTCTCCCCGGACCCCGCATTCACTATATCCGCTCTCCCCGGACCCCGCATTCACTATATCCGCTCTCCCCGGACCCCGCATTGACTATATCCGCTCTCTCCGGACCCCGCATTCACTATATCCGCTCTCCCCGGACCCCGCATTCACTATATTTCGTCTCCCCGGACCCCGCATTCACTATATCCGCTCTCCCCGGACCCCGCATTCACTATATCCGCTCTCCCCAGACCCTGCATTCACTATATCCGCTCTCCCCGGACCCCGCATTCACTATATCTCCCCGCGCTCCCCGGACCCCGCATTCACTATATCCCCGGACCCCGCATTCCGCTCTCCCAGGACCCTGCATTCACTATATCCGCTCTCCCCAGACCCCGCATTCATCATATCCTGTCTCCCACAGTACACAAAGCATAGAAATGCAATTATTTTAGTAAATATAAACTGCTAAATACCTTTTCTCATCAGCAGTATATAGCAGTCTTGTGACTTCTATCAGTGTCTCGCAGAGCACTGGTTAAAGCTTGTAGGAGGAGTTTTCTTTCTGCTCTAGAAGGATGCAGAACCCCTGACCTCTATCTGGACAGTGCTGATCACATGCATCCTCCCAAGAAAAAAAACAAACCCTCTCTAGCAATACACACCAAACTGAGCATGTGCATGTGACCACGGGTTCAGTCTGCATCAGCGTGGTCATTTCAACAAGAGGGGGGACAGGATCAAACAGCCTTTTTACACAATGCGGAGGATTAACCCCTTAGGTCCCACAGTGAGTATAACAAGCATGCTTTCCTGCATCTACAGACTGATTGTACTGTTGGGGGTTTAGTAACACTTTAAAGAGGGAAACATAAAACTAGTGCCTGTGTTTTTGATAAACTAACACATCAATATCTGGTTGGATGGATGGAGTAGTAATTCTCAAGATGCTCATCAGATATTTTATTTCTAATTTTGCCCGTCATCCTTGTAAAGAGTTCACAAACATTACAATTGTGATGAAATCTGGAACGTGACGATTGCCTTACCTTTCACAGTGACCTTCTGCTCGCCGGTTCCTGGATGAGTGAACAGGTCAACCTGTATGGACACCTCCCCCACTGAATCGTCCACACCGGAGCCTGGGACAGACAGACAGACAGGATGGTACAGTCAATCTCGGGGAGTCATTTCATGTAGGTGAACATGTGTTTGGTCAATGTTGGGGTGTGATGTCCGTGTTCCTCTATTCCCAGGAGAACAAAGCTGCCTCTGGCTGGGCAGAAGGTTGAATATCCACTTGGCGACCATTCGCATACCTGGTATGTCACCACAATCAAGGGGCCACATCCAGCCCCTGGGCCGCAGTTTGGAGACCACTGCTCTGACTCTACATACATGATAAGCAGACAATCAAGCAGCTCTGTCCAGCCAGCCAAGATCTAGTGAACTGTGTGGTTAAAACCAAACAGTATATCTGTTCCCTTTTTTCTGCAACTATTCACTTGTATCAACATCTTTCTTGTTCTCCAAAACTGAACACTATGATCTTCATGTGCTCAAGACTCCAGGATCACCCTGTTACCTCCTACCAACCAATAAGATACCCAGATCTGGTGCCATGAAGGAAAGGAAGCTGATTTTCTGATAGGCTCAAATCGGACATTTTCTTCTTGAAGATACACGATGTCCACTTTGGATGACTCTTGGTGGTCTTCAATAACCTCTTTTGGATATACACATACTGTATCTGGGCACCTCTACAATACTGATGATAATGAAGACTTCCATGTATTGGTTTCTCGCCCCCAAAGGATTTAGTTTTAAGGTCATAAGAACCTTCTTCACAGGAAGATGAAGGTATAATATACCAAAGTGGCCTTCTGTGTCCTCCTCAAGAACTCTGAAGGTGAAATCTCCATAGCTATCAGTGTTGCCACACGTGAGAAGTAGTTTTGACACTTCCTATGCTGGTGAGAGTGAGGGACTCCAATACTGGTCCCATCATGGAGATGGAGCCAGGACATGTCACTGTAAGATCTCCCCATGGAAATCACAGATAGATATGAGGAGCCAGCCAGGAACTAAATCCACCAATGATCACTGGGGCAGCACAGTGGCCACGTTGTCAGCACTTCTGCCTAGCAGCACTAGGGTCTTCGGTTCGATTCTCAATCACAGTATGACCTGCATGGTGTTTGGATGTTCCCCCTGTGCCTGCGTGGGTTTCCTTCCGGTACTCCGGTTTCCTACCGGTACTCCGGTTTCCTACCACACTCCAAGGACGTGCTGGTTGGGTAATTGGCCCTAGTATGTGTATGTATGAATGTGAGTTCAGGATCTTAGATTGTAAGCTTCTCGAGGGCAGGAACTGATGTGAATGTATAATATATATGTAAAGTGCTGTGTAAATTGATATATATATACTGTATATACATACATCTGTAATAAATAAATAAAGTCAGCTCTGGGAGGGTCTACTCTATGGGAAATGGAGTCTACTCCACTATAAGATGATGGAGCTGGAATCTAGAGGTATACAGGTAGGTTGGTGTGAACTACAAGGATAGCGGCTAAACATACCCTCCTTGGGAGGAACGTCCTCGTTAGCTGTATACCTAATACCCTTCCCATCATGCACTGGGACACGAGAGACGGCAGGTAGAGAGAGAGGAAGAGACGGTTATACAGACATGAAGCAGGAACACACTCTATACACATGACACCCTAATGCCTGTACAGTATAGGTCAGAGGTCACAGTGTGAAGGTCATAGAACAGTCAATGATTACATCAGAAGATATCTGGAGGTTTGGAAAGAGACACCACTAAGGCTGATGGAGATTTATTGTCTCTTCGTCTTAATGGGTCAGTTCATACAAAGTGAACTTTCAGATTTTGAGTAGAGGCTGGAGAGTAATCCAACCTGATTGTTGCTTCTATACCTTGGGAATTACTTGATGAGATTTCTGCACTCCGTTCTCAAGACTGTACACCCGCTGTGCCCATTATGAGGGCTTCCCACCATTTCTGTGCCAAGTTCACAGGTCTCCATTCAATGGTTGTCCCCAGTCTCCAACTCCTATAGCATGTTCTGCAGTCTCTGACCATCTCTTGTATCATGTCTGCAGTCTCTGACCATCTCTTGTATCATGTCTGCAGTCTCTGACCATCTCTTGTATCATGTCTGCAGTCTCTGACCATCTCTTGTATCATGTCTGCAGTCTCTGACCATCTCTTGTATCATGTCCTCAGTCTCTGACCATCTACTATATCATGTCCGCAGTTTATGACCATCTACTACATAGTATTTGCAGTCTCTGACCATCTACTATACCATGTCCGCAGTCTCTGACCATCTCCTGTAGTATGTCTGCAGTCTCTGACCATCTACTATATCATGTCCGCAGTCTCTGACCATCTCCTGTAGTATGTCTGCAGTCTCTGACCATCTACTATACCATGTCCGCAGTCTCTGACCATCTCCTGTAGTATGTCTGCAGTCTCTGAGCATCTACTATATCATGTCCGCAGTCTCTGACCATCTACTATAGCTATATCATGTCCGCAGTCTCTGACCATCTACTATAGCATGTCCGCAGTCTCTGACCATCTACTATATCATGTCCGCAGTCTTTGACCATCTACTATATCATGTCCACAGTCTCTGAGCATCTACTATATCATGTCTGCAGTCTTTGACCATCTACTACATCCGGTCTGCAGTCACTGACCATCTACTATATCATGTCTACAGTCTCTAACCATCTCTTGTATCATGCCTGCAGTCTCTGACCATCTACTATATCATGTCTGTAGTCTCTGACCATCTACTATGTCATGTCTGCAGTCTCTGACCATCTACTATATCATGTCTGTAGTCTCTGACCATCTACTATATCATGTCTACAGTCTCTGACCATCTCTTATATCATGTCTGCAGTCTCTGACCATCTCCACTATATCATGTCTACAGTCTCTAACCATCTACTATATCATGTCTGTAGTCTCTGACCATCTACTATATCATGTCTGCAGTCTCTGACCATCCACTATATCATGTCTGCAGTCTCTGACCATCTACTATATCATGTCTGTAGTCTCTGACCATCTACTATATCATGTCTGCAGTCTCTGACCATCTACTATTATCATGTCTGCAGTCTCTGACCATCTACTATATCATGTCTGCAGTCTCTGACCATCTACTATATCATGTCTGCAGTCTCTGACCATGTCTTCTATGATGTCTGCAGTCTCAGATCATCTCCTGTATCATGCCCATAGTCTTTGCCCTGTTGTGTGTCTGCTGTCACTGACACAACATATTCCCTGACTTTTATGTGCAGCCCTTCCCAGCCGGGACACAGCAATAAAAGACTTGACAGAGGGTCTAACCCTTCCTCATTCCATGCAATATAAAATCATTCAAACCTTTGTCCCCTTTTACATTTGTAATGTTCCATATCTTGGTGATTTGTAAATGATTAGAATACATTATGGAGGGAACACAGTAATAGTAGGCGATGCCATTTTGCTTTTTACAAATAGGAGCCTGGCGCTGGTCAGAGCATGCGCTGCCGCAGTAAACTTTATAAACAAACAGACAAACGCAATATCTGAGACAGAAGACTCGCAAAGACACACCAGGTCACATGACTACGACTCCAGATTTTTCCCCTTTAATTGAGAATCTCCCATGGAGCCATGCAAGTATCTGGAGATGGGACGTAACATGGAGCGGGATCTCACCTTGTGCCGTCTGTGATTGCACAAAGGTCTTGATGAGTGTGTCTGTGGTCTGGGTGTAGAGCGAGAGGGCATAGCGCAGGGACTGCAATTCCGGGCTCTTCTCCAGGTACGTTTTCTTCAGACCGTTTCCTCCAGCATGAAAATATTGCTGCACAGAAGACAAGACAGGCAGACATTCACCCATACTGCAGCTGTTTGCTATCATTTTTCATTGCATGTCACAAAGTTCATATGCCAGTCTTTCTAGACTGAAATGCCGTCTCAGTCACGTAAATCCTGGTGCCTGTGCAGTTCTTGGCTGTGTCAGCAAATGTCAGACACAGATCAGCCCCGGCGTCAGCCTCTCACCTTGTGACCTGCTACAAAGTTACAATGTACAGTCTGATCACTGGGGAAGAGGAGACTGAATAAATTCTTCCTCCTGCCTGCAGCAGACTGATGGCACCATCTCAGTCTAGCTAAAGTCCCTGGATTCTAGTTCAAAGATGGCTATTTATTGATAAAAGCTGGTAAAAAATGATCAATAAAAATGATTAAAAAAAAAAAAAAAAGATACTGTTCAGTAAAGTATTTGTCCAAATTTGTAAGGTTACAGTTAGATTCAATCTACATAAATGGCGGTGGAGGGGTAAAAAAAAATTCATGAGGCTAATTTAGGGCCATTGGGATTCCACGGGGGTCCTAAACCCCCGAAGTACAGAGAAAGACACACCTCACTGAGTGACCCAGCAATGCCCACCGAACACCCAGCAATGCCCACCGAACAACCCAGCAATGCCCACTGAATGACCCAGCAACGCCCCCGAACGACCCAGCAACGACCCGAACGAACGACCCAGCAACGCCCACCGAACGACCCAGCAATGCCCACCGAACGACCCAGCAATGCCCACCGAACTCACACTGAATAAAGTTTACATTACAAAAAGGAAAATGGTTCTGCTCCAAGGCTGGCACTCAAGTTAGTCAGAACCGGCCATGGGTGCACCAAGCCCACTGGTAAGTACTTCCCTCCATGAACAGCACTCACTTCCCCATTTAGGAACAAGCTGCGCCAACACCAAATGCGTTTGTTAGAACCAACTTTACTCCTCTTTGAGTAACAACATTCCACTGGTCACAGGCTCCTTGCTTGTTCATTTTTCCCTAATGTAGGGTTTAGCCATAGACTTAGCCGTATGTTCTGGCAAAATGCATCAGTTGGGGGAGCTGGTTTCCGGGCGGGATGTTGTTGGTAAGAGAGGAATCAAGTTGACTAACCCAATGTCAGAGCGAAAGGTAATGGAAGGAACCTGCCTCAGGTGGGATGTTGTTGGTAAGAGAGGAATCAGGTTGACTAACCCAATGTCAGGGCAAAATGTGATGGGAGGAACCTGCCTCAGGTGGGATGTTGTTGGTAAGAGAGGAATCAAGTTGACTAACCCAATGTCAGGGCGAAATGTGATGGGAGAAACCTGCCTCAGGTGGGATGTTGTTGGTAAGAGAGGAATCAGGTTGAACTAACCCAATATCAGGGCGAAATGTGATGGAAGGAACCTGCCTCAGGTGGGATGTTGTTGGTAAGAGAGGAATCAAGTTGACTAACCCAATGTCAGGGCGAAATGTGATGGGAGGAACCTGCCTCAGGTGGGATGTTGTTGGTAAGAGAGGAATCAAGTTGACTAACCCAATGTCAGGGCGAAATGTGATGGGAGAAACCTGCCTCAGGTGGGATGTTGTTGGTAAGAGAGGAATCAGGTTGACTAACCCAATGTCAGGGCGAAAGGTAATGGGAGGAACCTTCCTCAGGTGGGATGTTGTTGGTAAGAGAGGAATCAGGTTGACTAACCCAATGTCACAGCGAAAGGTAATGGTAGGAACCTGCCTCAGGTGGGATGTTGTTGGTAAGAGAGGAATCAAGTTATCTAACCCAATGTCAGGGCGAAACGTGATGGGAGGAACCTGCCTCAGGTGGGAAGTTGTTGGTAAGAGAGGAATCAGGTTGACTAACCCAATGTCAGGGCGAAATGTGATGGGAGGAACCTGCCTCAGGTGGGATGTTGTTGGTAAGAGGAATCAGGTTGACTAACCCAATGTCAGGGCGAAATGTGATGGGAGGAACCTGCCTCAGGTGGGATGTTGTTGGTAAGAGAGGAATCAAGTTGACTAACCCAATATCAGGGCGAAACGTGATGGGAGGAACCTGCCTCAGGTGGGATGTTGTTGGTAAGAGAGGAATCAAGTTATCTAACCCAATGTCAGGGGTGAAATGTGATGGGAGGAACCTGCCTCAGGTGGGATGTTGTTGGTAAGAGAGGAATCAAGTTTGACTGACTAACCCAATATCAGGGCGAAACGTGATGGGAGGAAACCTGCCTCAGGTGGGATGTTGTTGGTAAGAGAGGAATCAAGTTATCTAACCCAATGTCAGGGCGAAACGTGATGGGAGGAACCTGCCTCAGGTGGGAAGTTGTTGGTAAGAGAGGAATCAGGTTGACTAACCCAATGTCAGGGTGAAATGTGATGGGAGGAACCTGCCTCAGGCGGGATGTTGTTGGTAAGTGAGGAATCAGGTTGACTAACCCAATGTCAGCGTGAAATGTGATGGGAGGAACCTGCCTCAGGTGGGATGTTGTTGAAAAGAGAGGAATCAGGTTGACTAACCCAATGTCAGGGTGAAAATGTGATGGCAGGAACCTGCCTCAGGTGGGATGTTGTAGCTCAACAAGGAACAAAGTAGACTAAGCCCTGTGTTAGGGTGGGAGCCTGTGGGCGGTGGGATGTTGCTGCCAAAAGATAAATAAAGAATGCCAAGTTCTACGTTAGGGCAAAATGTGTCAACAAAGAGCCTGTGTCAGGTGCGATGTTGTTGCTATAAGAGGAATACAGTAGGCCAAGTTCTATGTTAGGGCAAAAAACACATTAGTGAGGAACCTGGGTCTGATGGGATTTTGTTCCTCAAAGAGAAAGAAAGTAGACTAAGTCCTACGTTAGAGGAGAAACCTGTGTCTGGTGGCATGACGTTTCTAAAAGTAGACAAAGCCCTACGCTAGGGTGAAACGCATCACAAAAAAGCCTGTATCTGGTGGAATGATGTTTCTAAAAGTAGACAAAGTAGGCCAAGCCCTACGTTAGGGTGAAATGCATCAAAGAAATATAGTGTATTTGGTGCAATGTTGTTATGGAATGAAATATGCCAAGTCCTATGGTAGAGCAAAATGTGTCAGAAAGGAGTTTGTGTCAGGTGGGATGTTGTTTGTCAAAAAGGAATAAAGTCAATTAAGCCCCAAGTTGGGGTTAAACATATCAGTAGTAGAGTTTGTATCTGATACGATTTTGCTGCTGTAAAGAGAAATAAAGCAGACTAAGCCCTATGTTAGGGTGAAACGCGTCACAAGGGGAGCCTTTTCAGTTCTGTGGTAGATGAAAAAGAAGGTCAAAGAAAGATTGAGAACAATTATAGCTTTGATGAGCTGTGAAAAACAGCAACAAGCAACAAATGAAAAAAAAAAAAAATAGGTCCAAATGCAATGAAAAATCCGAATCTAATCTAAAAACAAAATAATATAATTTATTTGACCAGATTTCGGCGTACCTTGATAGTATCCAGAGCCAGATCCATGACCGCACATTGCTTTGGGGTCAGACTCCGAGTCTCTTCTCGAACCATATGATCCTGGAACAACAAGAAATAGTCAACACCACAGCAGAGGCCCACC